GTTTGGAATATAAATTCGTTTAGTAACGCAATTTTATTTTTCTATTTTTGGAACAAATTTTGATTTCAAAAATAGGTTTGGAACAGAAATGAGAAGTAAAAATTTTATACTTTTCTATTTCTAGAACAAATATGAGAAATAAAAATTCTTCTTATCGCTCGCCCTTACTACTAGCCGATCACCCACCCGCTGTCCGCCGCCATCCACCCGCCGTCTGCCTGCCGCTGCCTCTTGCCACCCTCCTCTCGCTGGCAGCCGTCTTCTGCCGCCATCCGCTGCCACCAACTGCCCTCTTCTTGCCGCTGCCCTCCTCCTGCCATCACTCACCTACAGTCGCCACCTGTTTCCCGCCACCGTCCTCCACACTAGCCATACTACTGTCTGCCGCTGCCTCTTGTTGCCTCAATCGTTCGTTGCCTGCCGCCCACTGTCCACTCGCCGGCTGCCCGAAAGGAAGAAATTTTGTGCCATTATCAAATAAAATTTTATTTCAAAAATAGAAATTTTATGTTGTTATCAAACACATTTTTTGCTCAAAACTAATCTATGGAATAGAAATAGAAAAAATCAATTTCTGGCCAGAAATTAATTTCTCAAATACAATGGTTGTCATTTACACCCTTACTCGTATAAATATTCTCCAGCTAGGGTTTTGTCTTTCAGGCTGCGTATGTAGATTAGTGAGCAAAGGAGTCTTGGTCGTGAAATCAAATTGTGCAACGAGCTCATATTCGTGAATTACATCTAAACGTGAATCCGAGAATGTCATAATCTTGATTTAATATATTTCTCTATGAGATTGAAAAATTATTTCGATAGGAATAAATGAGAGAAAGTGTGGACTAGAAATTTCTAAGAACGTTTGAGTAACTCGAGTATGATTGTAATCTTTTTTTGTATCTCCTAACCTAGATTGAATCTTGTGTTGCTCTCCCCTTTAATGTAGATTAAACTAACCGAGCCACATAAAATCTAATACTCGATTTAATTTTGTAATTTTAGTTAGTATTATTTGATCGCTTGTTTGCACAATAATCGGTATCAAAACCGGGCTAGGCTAAGTCGAAGTGAATTGATAGGGACAAAAATGGAAAAGTGAAAATCGACCAAGTGAAAAAGTTTGGTTTGTGGAAATTGTAGATTAAAGATTACCTGTATTAGAGAAATCTACACTAACACCTATTTGGCAAAAGCCAGAATCGGTAAAGCAAGCCGATCGGGATATGTTGGATAGATAAGTGGCTATTATTTTATTGACATTGCGTAATCTCACATATGATATCTTCGAACGAGAATAACACTGCAGGCCTCGCCAGCCCAAGTGCGAGCATCCCTCACCTGAGAGCTGTGAGGGCCAAGGGAGGGTGATCCTCGCTTGAGGTCGGCGGAGGGAAAATGGGAAAAAAGAAAAAGAAAAGGAAAAAAGGAAAAAAAAATAAGAAATAATTTCAAAATTTTCAAAAGTTTTGTAAAAATTATCCATGTCAACGTCAACCGTGCCACGTAGGATGGCTGGCACTAATTAGACTGCCACGTCAATGATTTCCGGCCAAAATTGGCTGGAAGGTTAAATTGACAAATCGTTAAAAGATTTATGACTAAGTTGGTAAATCATTAAAAGTTTTAGGACTAAATTAGCATAATTAAAAGGATTATGATGGAATTGGCCGCCACACAATATGCTCAGATTTTTTGGACAATCTTCCTCGAAAATGGTGGATTAATGGAAAGTTTTGATAGGATAGGCAAGTATTTAGATTTAATTAGCATTGAGGAAGCACATTAATATTGTGATCCATTATGATATGCTTCAAAAAAGAAATAGAATTGAATATTAATATATTCTTCCCTAAATAAGGGACCTCTTCAAAAGCTGATGTGTCTTTCTAACAAGTTTTGACTTTTTTCCCTAAAAGTCAAGAGAAGCCTATTTGCTTTCGCTTTATTTATTTAATAATATAAAGATAAAAATACCTGTGCTCGCTTATCCCACAAAACAAAAATCGTGTTTACCTAAAGCGCAGGTTAGTCACTGAACTTATGCTTCCTTCAACTTAGATATTTTTGCAATCAAGTACTTGGACATATAGAAATTTTCATATCAACACCATTTGTAGCCAACTCCAGCAAATTGAAGCTAACTTGTTGAACAGTACTAACCAAAAGCCTGATTCCTAATAAACGATGTCATTTTGCAATGGACCGCCATTAGAAAATTTTATTAGTTGCATCTTGGATTGTTGTTCCTACAGTATGCTTGATGCAAATAGTTTGCCTATGGCGCAACTAAATTTTCTCGCAGCATATTTTTGGCTTACATTCACAACCATGTCGATTTGAATACGCCCTAATTAGAGGCTAATGGACCTGATCGGAAAAATTGCACAAACTCAAGGAACTTGATGTCACGAATCCTAAGTTCAAGGGCCACATAAAAAAAGAGCATAGGAGTACAGTGACAAAGTGCATGTTTTTCCTTATTAGGTCTTGATGAACCACTGGTACTGAACTCGAGTTAGGCTAGGCTTTTTCCATCAAAGCGGCAATTCAAATTACCGTTTCATGATAATGTTCGTATCACTGTCAATTTGTGTTTTCAAAAGCCCATCACTATTTTGATTTTGTTAGCAATATAACCAACTAACAGTAACACTAGGGTCGATAAAACGGGTTAAAGCATATTATGTCACGTCATGTTAATTTTTTATTTCGCATTTTGCTTTGTGCCATGTTCAGGTCATGTTGATCGGTCATGTCAAACATTTTTCCTTAGCTTAAGCACACAAAAACTCGAAGATCATTTTTCTATGTGAAAAAGTAATTTGAAAGCATCGGTAAATTTAGGGATGAAGGCACACGTAATTTTTTAACTTTTCCAAAGTGTTCAAATAGGTCTGTGAACATTATATACTTTGTATGAATTGGTTCTTTTGTTAAGAAAGGAAACGAAAGGGTGAGGAGGCCTCTTGATAGTTTTTACCGCATGTCTCATGCTTTGAAATTGATGTGCCATGGCATATTACATGTGATTACTACTATGTCACGTCACGTCACGTCATTTTCTTATTTGGTTTGCATTTGCATTTGCCATATCATGTCATTTTTCTGTCATGATATCATCATGCCGTGTTGCATTTAATTATTACCGTGTCATGTTGTTCTCCTATCACGTTGAAATCCAAATATGTCATGATATGTTGCATGCGAACATTGTCATGTTATGTCAATTTCTCATCATGTTTGCATTAGAATTTGCCATCCCATGCTACATGTGATTATTCCCATATTATGTTATTTTCCCGTTATATTTTGCATTCGAATTTGCTATCTCATGCTCCATGTTATTATACTATGTCATGTTATTTTCTAATCATGTGAATTAAATCGGGAACTAGCCAAGTCATGTTACGTGTAAATATTGCCATATCATATAATGTAATACTTGGATTATGAATTTGTTATACAATTTGCATGGGCCATTGTCATTTCATGTTACCTCTCATCACATTCGAATTCTAGAATTGCCTTAGCATGTTGCATGTAATCATTGGCATGTCATGTCATTTTCCTTGTTAATTGAATCATGAACTTACCGTATCATGTCGCATGTGATTATTGTTATGCTATATATTTTTCTCACTATATTTGAATTTCGAAATTTGCCATGTCATTTTATCATCATGTTTAAGTTTTGAATCTCTCATGTCACTTTGCAAGTAAATATTGACATGTCATGTTATTTTCCCGTTATATTTTGCAGGTATTCGTCATGTCAAACTTCATGTAAAATCGCTATGTCATGGCATTTTCTCATCATGGTTCAATCACGAACTTGCATGTTATGTTGCATGTGATTATTGACATGTCATGTCATTTCTCATCATATTTGAATCATGAGTTGTCATATCATGTTGTATGTGATTATTGCCATATCGTGTCATTTTCCGGTCACGTTTGAATTCCAAATTTGTTAAGATATGCTGCATGTGCATAGTGCCATGTCATGCCATTTTATCATCATTTTTTTCCATATGATGTCATTTTCCTGTCATACTTTGTATTCGAATGTGTCATCTCGTGTTACGTGTGATTACACCATGTTATGTTAATTGAATCACGAACTTGTCATATCATGTTATATGTGATAATTGCCCTGTTATGTTATTTTCCTCATCATATTTGGACGTGAATTTGAAATGACATGTTCCATGTGATGTTTGCATGTTATGTCATTTTCTCATCATGTTTGAATTCCGAATTTGCAATGCCATGTCATTTTCCTCATCATATTTGAATAATTAATACATCATGCCATGTTGCATGTGATTATTAATAAGTTGTGTGATTTTCTCATCATATTTGAGTCTCAAATTTATCATGCCATGCTGTGTGCGAATATTATTATGTCATTATTTTCTCGTCATGTTTGCATTTGGGTTTGACTCGTTATGTCGCATGTAAATATCGCTATATCATGTCAATTTTCCATCATATTCGAATCCAACTTTACATGTTGCATGTGCAGTAGCTGTGACAATGCATTTTGCACACGCACCTGCACACCCAAAGTTCAACTCGAGGTAAAACAAAGGAATTTTTCTTGTTGGGAGAACGCAGCAGAAATCCGATACCTTTACCTAAGAAGATCGCCAAGAAGAAACCCAAGTCCAAGCCCGTCAACATACCCAGTTAGACTTACTTTCCTTCAAAAGTTCAACCCAATAAATTATGGGTCAATTAAGATATATTAACTGCTATATAAAGCACCAATTCTATGATGTGTGACTTCACTAACACAACTCACACATGCATCTCAATACTTCTTTGAAGAATGGCTAGCTGGAAACCTAGACGGCCAATATGCCTGGAAGGGGGTTCTGTGTTTGAAGTATAGTGCTGGTTACAGTGGCAATGGCGTAACTGCTGTGTTGTTCAACGAGAATTTACTCATATCCATCTCAGCCAGGCATCATTCTAAGGAGCAAAGTTGAGGAAACTGTAAAGCAAGTAAGTAATTTAACGAGTTTACTCCAAACTAGAATGTAAGTACTTCGTCTACGTCATGATGATATACATCAAACAGAATAACCAGTACAATCGAACTTCTCTATGGCTAGTGAAACCTGGTTCTCCTAGCAAGTTCGTCTTCACAGACCATGTTCACGTCTCTTGTCCTGATCTCCGCTGAATCGTCCCTGGTTAGGAGATCCATGAACATGGCATGCTCTGTAGATTCTCAGGAGGATATGCCGCATCCAATCCATCTTCAGCTGTTTGTTAGCCGAGTGATCGATGCACGCTAGCCCAATCTCAATGACCTGCCGAGCTTGTTCGATTGTAGCACTTGCAATCGTAATTCTCTCGTCCAACAAATTCTGGCAATTTGCAGGGAAATTCGTTCGGATGTACTCAATGAAACCGGCCTCACCCGCCTCAAGGTCTCCCATTTTCCCTCTGTCTGTGATCATCTCCAACAAAAGCACTCCAAACTTGCGTTTGTCTGATTGAAAAAGGCCAAATGAGAGTCAAGTTTTGCAATCTGCTAAACAACATGAAGGAAAAATGCAAGTTGAGACAAATGAACTTACTCTTCGAGCTGCTGTTTTGACCATCAAATTCGAATCGCAATATCAGCGGCTCGAGATTTTCGGACAAGATAATACTGCTAGTCCTGAGATCATACCCCACTTGAGGCCACAATTCATGCAAATAACACATGCCTTCCATGACTCCAACCAATACCTTCAACCTGTGCTTCAATGGAGGAGCTCTCTCTGTTAACCACATCTCTAGGCTCTCTCCGTCCGTCCATTTTGTCACGACCGCTCTCAATTCCCAATCGTCGCACCAACCAAATACTCGCACCAGGTTCTTGTGGTGCAATTGGACAAGAACCTCGCACTCTTCGACGAATTTTTTCATGCTTTCATTGGAAATCTCACGCCAGTATATCTCGATCCTCACTTGAGTACCATCTGTCAGAATTCCTCTGTAAATGTCTACTCCATCACTCTTCCCCTCTAAGTTTTCACGTGAGAATCCGCTCGTCGCCGCCTTAAGCATCGATGTAGTGAAGTGATGTCTCGGTTGTCGAGATTCCGATGATAGATCACGCCTTCTAAAACACAGCATAGCGATGAAACCCACAATTAAAATCACCATAACCGGCAAGCCAATCATCAGAAACATCGCCTTGAAGGCGAAACTCTGTTTGTTTGGAATGAGGCCTGAGTGAACAAAATTACTTGAATTGAACCGCCTGAAGACCAGGCTCTCGGACAATTTACACTCCGAGAAGTGATTGTATGAGAGGTTGAGGACGGTCAGGTTGACCAGGGAAACCAGCCTCTCGACAGGGAAATCGCCTGAGAGCTCGTTGCGGCTGAAATCGAGGGCCTCTATCTGTGCGCAGGCCAGAACGCTGGTCGGGAACTCGCCCCTCAGTGAGTTGTTCGAGAAGTCGATGGACCGGATCGTTAGGGGGCAGTACTTCCAGAAGAAGTCGAAGGACAGGTAGAGCGGTGCGATCTTGGGGCGGCCCCGGAGGTCGATCTTGTCGAAGGACTCGATGCAGTTGGGATTGCGGGACTCATTGCAGAGGTGGCTCGCGACGACGGTGAACTTAAAGATCTCGTTGAGGCCGTCCAGACGGCGGGAGTCGCCGCAGTACCGGAGGGAAGGGTTGTGGAGGCAGTTGCCGGCAATGGTGGAGTTGAACTCGGGGGGCGGCCACAGGTTGCGGAGGTCATCAACGACGGTGGTGGAGAGGATCACGGGGACGAGGAGAAGGGCGCCGACGATTGGTGGGAGGAGAAGGGAGGCCATCAGGCGAATTTGCTCACGGTTGGGCATGGTCGATCTCTGAGAAGGGAGAGAGGAATTTCAAATGCATGGCGGTTTTCGGTTTTGACGGCAAAAGGGGAAGGAAGTTCGCACGTGTGCAACAGGCCCCTCACGTAGTCTTTCCCCTTTTTTCCCATTATTCCTAGAAAAATGCTGGAACTTTACATATTTCGCAAAGCTAATTTTAGGGCGCATGCCCGTGCAATGTACGGCCACTTCTTTGTTTTAGGACAATGATACAAATAGTGCTTAAACTTTGATCCAATAATAGCAAGCTGATGCATTATTAAGTAAATATTTAGCTCGGCCTCTCTCGAGCCCATACCAATCGCAACTTTGAGATTTTTAATTTAATCAATTAGATATGCAATTCAATTTATGTTGAAGTCACCACTAATTTATTATAGGTTGATTAGAAACACAAGTAAAATATGGGAGAGCATTTTACTTATGTGGATAAGATATTTTATGGATACGGGAACTTGATTGCGCTAAGTAATCTAACGCTCTTTCGAAGCCCATAGCCTCCAAGAACCTTCTCTTTACCCTTAGAATTGAGACTAGGATTAGGATTAGAATTAGAATTCAATTTTAATGAATAAAATAAGCTCACCAGGAATCATGTCTTGGGCATCACAACAAAGCCATGTAATATTCTTTGCCCGACATTGTATTGAGGTACTTTCGCACTTTCCTTACTACTTTTCATTATCGTCCTTGATTGTGTGTTTACATTACAGCTTTTATTTATTGTGTCTCTTTTAGTCTAGTTGAATAGTTAGGCTACACATTAAGATCATAATGAACACCCAAAAACATGGCATGATCACTTAGTGGACAAAACCTCTAGGATTCATAATCGGATAAAAAAATCGCGTGGACACTTAGATAAATCAATCAAGTTATGGTACCAAAAGGACATTAGTTGAATAACTAATATAATCAAGTCCCCGAATTTTGATTATCTAGTTGCGTAGGAAGTGGGATGTTCTCTCATATTTCACTTGGTTTCTAGCCTATCCCAATAGGCTAGTGGCAACTCATTTACATGGAATTCCCATAGGATTAATCGAACTAATATGAAAATTTGAACTTCAAGCAAGATAAGGGTTTGGGAGAACTCGCTCCGATTGAGGATCGTTGGTTCACCTTCGACATTACCTCTAAACCTATCTCCCCCGGACCTTAGGACCCGCTACAAGAGGGCTGCGATAAACACAAAAATCAATTTCCAATGAACATCAAATCTCAAGTTAACACCAATTATCACAATAACACAAATATTTATTTAACATAAAACATCAATCATCACAATAATACCAATTATCACGAAAAATAATTTCAAGCATTGATGGTGACGATAACAGTGACGACTGCGACCCGCACTACCCACTAGCGGTGAAGGCCCCATAGTCATGGCCTTCACCGTTGCTCCCCATCACAGTCATAGCCATGACCCGTGACCCGGCCATGGCCAAGATCATGGCCAACATGGCGGCGAGGGAGGAGGACCATGGCTAAGGGACGGGGAAGACCAACTTGGCAAGAGGTACAGGAGACGGTGGCTGGCACGCTAGGAGAAGGCGGGCAGCAACGAGTGCTCGTGTGTGTGTTGAGGTTGTCCCACATCGATTATAGAGGGGGCTAATGGTCGGTTTATAAGTGTGAAGGAAAGTCTTATCCTTTGAGTTAGCTTTTGGGATGTAAGAGGCCCAAGACCACCCAATAATAGTATTAAAGCTGAAGGTTGATTGGTGGGTCTCTAATCTGTTCGGGTGTTTGGTGAATATCTCAAGAAAGAAATGTCATGATCGACGCTTGTTTCGAGTAGAAATTGCCATCACGATTGGTTTGGCGAGAAGAGACCATGGACAGTTGGTTTAGTGCTGCAAAATAAGAGACCATAGGTGATGCAATCCCAAGTTAGCAATTGATGATAGATATTCAAGTTGAGATATGTTGATGCAGAAGGATATCTAAATTAAGGGAGAGCAGACCTAACACTAAGCTCACATGTGAGGGGGAGATTGTTGAAGTGTACGCATGAATTGTGTTAGAAAAGTCTCACATTAGAGAATTGGTGTGGTATTGAGCAGTTAATATATCCTAGTTGGCTCATAACTCATTAGTTTAAGCTTTTGAGTGAAGGTGGGTTCAGCTAGATATGTTGACGGGCTAGGATTTGGGTTCTCTCTTGCCAATCTCCCTAAATGAAGGTATAGAGTTTCTGCTGTGTGCTCCCAACAAACTAGTATTAGAGACCAAGGTTGCCAGAAAGTCTGGACCCAATAGTTACACAAGAGAGTTACGGATTGTTGCGACTCCTACCCAGGTTCGATGTGTGAGAGGGAGATTATGGGAGAATTACGGATTGTTGCAGCTCCGACCCAAGCCCGATGTGTAAGGGGGAGATTATTAAGATTGTCCCACATCAATTGTGGAAGGGGCTAACGGTCGGTTTATAAGTGTGAGAGAAAGTCTTACCCTTTGAGCTAACTTTTGAGGTAAGAAACGCCCAAGACCACACAACAATGGTATCAGAGCCGAAAGTTGATTGGTGGGCCTCCAATCTGTTCCGGTGTTTGGTGAATATCTCAAGAAAGAAATCTCATGATCGACGCTTGTTTCAAGTGGAAATTGCCATCATGGTTGATCTGGCGAGAAGAGACCACGAACATTTGGTCTAGTGAAGCAAAATAAGAGACCATGGGTAATGCAATCCCAAGTTAACAGTTGATGATAGAGATTCGAGTTGAGATATGTTGGTGCAGAAGGATATCTGAATTAAGGGGGAGCATGCCTAATACTGAGCTCACACGTGAGGGGAAGATTGTTGAAGTGCACGCTTGAGTTGTGTTGGAAAAGTCTCACAATAGAGAATTGGTATGGCATTGAACATTTAATATATACTAGTTGGCCCATAACTCATTGGCTTAAGCTTTTGAGTGAAGGTGGGTCCAACTAGATATGTTAACAGGTTCGGACTTAAGCTCTCTCTTGCTAATCTCCTAAATAAAGGTATCGAGTTTCTGCTGCGTACTCCCAATAGTGTGTGTGAGAGAGAGAACCTTAGCGACGAAAATAAAATTTGTCATTCATACAAAGAGCAAAAAAGATTTTACTTTCTTCGCCAAAGGAGTGATCTAGTATACTTTAAAGCGATGAAACTTGTACTTTGCAGAGCTTGGTTGGAGCAATGGTGACAAATTACTAGTGCCATCCCATCACGTTTGTTGTTGGTCTTATCAAAGGCGACGAAAAGAACCTCTTGCCGCGGTTGCTCAATTCACCGGCAACGAACTCTTGATTTCGTCGCCGTCAATCGATGCAGATGCGACGAAGAAATGCAATTTCATCGCCATTGCGTTGCTTAATGCAACAGCGGAAAAATACGGTGATGAGCGTTTGATTTCATCGCCGTCGCTTTGTCTACGGGGACGAACATTTGATTATCCCCGTCATTACCCTAGGACGAAGTTATTTTTGCAGCCTAATTGTACTTGCGATTGTTCTACTCTTAAATAACTCGATATCAGAAAAAGAAAATGCCAAACATTGTCCTCAAACTTTCATTCATATTTCACTTGGCTTGCCTTACTTTTTTAAACGCGTGATTTGCATCTTGAAATTGTTGCATGATTCGAGTTGGCGGTCGGCACACTCATAGATTAACGCACTATTACTACATATCATATTGCCAAATTAATTTCCTCAGAATTTCCAGCCCCAGTTCCGCCTACCAAAAACACTACCAAAAATTTGATTAAGATAGACATGCGACTCGCGCCAATCTTAGAATACTAGCACATGTAGCATGTTTCGAGCAAAGTCAGAGATCTCTCCGATCGAAGATAACGTTTTTATGTTGATGTATTATGAATTGGTTTCCGTTCTTATACTCATTTAGAAGATTGTTGGCGTCAGTATTATCTATTAAATTATTGAAAATGATAAAGCCACACGGGTTTCCAGCTAGCATGAGATAAATTTTCGCAACCCACGCGGAAGCGCGAATAAACGAAACGCTTCGAGTCAGAAATAAACCCGTACCGATAAAACCCGAGCACAACGGATTTGCGGGGTTCGGCGATGGTAGCCGAGCTCTGCTGCAAAGCTTGCCCTGCTCGTGAGCCCGTTGTGGAGGCTCACGGCCCGGCCGTGGCCCTGTACGGGCTAGAGACCAACATCTATATCTTTTGCAATAAAAAGATCGGGTTTCTGCTACTATACCCGCATTCATAATGCACGCTATGTAATAATTATCCCGATCCACTTGTGACCACTTTTGTGTGTGTATATATATATATTATAACTAAATATGAGTCATTGAATATAATGGGTCCTGTAAAATATGTCGTATAATATTCTTTTCAGGTATGCATTTTGTTCTTCAGATAATTTTTCTAGTGGGGTTGCACGAAAATGCCAAACGCGAACACACACACTCCTCTCTCTTACAACCTTCTATGCAGTCTCACATCATCTTAGCTCACCTCCGGCCGTCAAGCCACCGCTAAAGCTGCCACAATGCCCTCCACATTACCCCCGCCATGCAGAGAGAGAGAGAGAGAGAGTGGCTATGAGGCGGAAGAGGCAAAGATGACGGCGAAGCCGCTGCGATGACGGCAAGTTGGTCTCTGCCATTGAAGTCATTTTGGCCCCAAAATGAAAACAACATTAGCACCTCACGAAGGACGGCGCTTTTAGCCGAACTGTTAATCATATTTTTCTTGGAAACTTTGTAATGGACTGACTACATTGAACTTAATCTTTCTTCCAGTAACAATTGAATTGAATCGACTATCTATCCTTTGAAAAAAGAGACAACTCAAACAAGAAACTGTATACCATCCTGAACAGAAGTTGCTCGTAGGACCGTACTATTGAAGCTCATTGAAAATTCAATTATTTTAGTCGAAGTTCTATTTACTGGTCAATTTTAATTAGTCCAATGTTTTGCTCGAGCATACAATAATTACCATCACTGTTGGCTGATCCAAGATTAGTCCAATCTATAAATACTCTACTCTGCTCACTTAATGAAGCAAACAAAGGAGCATCACCATACAACGAATGTAGTACTATTTAGCTTACCTTCTGTTGATATGCCTGCTGGGGTGGAGCATCAATCTGCTCCAGCGATCGTCAAGCTGGAAGTCCGGCAGCAACTGCCTGCCGCCGGGCCCACGCCCTCTCCCAATCACTGGGAACATCCTCGAGCTCGGCAACAAGCCCCACCAAGCAATCGCCAAGCTCTCTAAGCTATATGGCCCGGTTATGACCATAAAGCTGGGGGCAATCACAACCATAGTCATCTCCTCTCCGGAGGCTGCCAAGGAAGCCCTCCAAAAGAATCACCAGCACTTGTGCAGCCGGCAGATCCCTGACACCGCCAAGGCGACCGGTCACCATGACGAGTCCGTCTTGTGGCCGCCCGCCTCTGACAAGTGGAAGCTGCTCAGGAAGGTGTGCACTGTGCAGATGTTAACGGCGCGCAAGCTTGACCAGACCCAGTTCCTCCGCCGCAAGAAGGTGGACGAGCTCGTTGGCTTCATCCACAAGAGCTGCCGGCAAGGCCACTGCGTCGACATCGGGAAGGCTGCCTTCACAACCGTGTTCAACTTGATCTCAAACAAGCTGTTTTCCATCGACTTAGCACACTACGATGCCGGCTCCTCCCAGGAGTTCAGGGACCTTGTGTGGGGCGTGATGGAGGAGACCGGGAAGCCCAACGTATCGGATTTCTTCCCGGTGCTCCGGTGGTTCGACCCCCAGGGCACGCGCCGGAGGATCTCGGGTTACTTCAGCAGATTGCTTGCCATGGTCGACAGGATGATTGAGGAAAGGACTCGAGCCAGGGCGTTGTTGTTTGCGTCTTCACCAAGCAACGATGTGCTCGATTCTTTGATTAATCTAAAGGAGTGTGGTGAATTGAGCTTCGATGATATTAAGATCTTGATTCTGGTCGGTACATTATTGATCTGAATTATTCATGCTTCTGTTCAATACTTTCTTCTGCATTCATTATTGTTAGGTTTATTTCAAATTATACAGACCACGCTCTGTATAGAGATTACTAAAACATGACTTCTTTATATCTTGATGCTCTCGAAATTGTTACTGACCACCTTTGGACAATTCATTTTCAATTTGCTTCCAAAAATGAAGGTGCATTTATCAAACATCCCTCAGCTATTTCTCACGATTTTCTTTGCCAGGACTTGTTCCTCACAGGAGTCGACTCGAGCACGAGCTTGCTGGAGTGAGCGATGGCAGAGCTGCTGCGCAATCCCGAGAAGATCGTGCGAGCCTGTGAAGAGCTCGACCGAGTCATCAGTGGTAACGGAGGAACGCTGCAAGAGCCTGACATCGCGAAGCTCCCCTACTTACAAGGAGACTCTGAGGCTGCACACATCGGTCCCCCTCCTGATCCCGCACAAGGCTAAGAGCGACGTTGAGATATGCGGATTCCGATTGCCCCGGCACACCCAGGTGCTGGTCAACGTGTGGGCCATGGGGCGGGACCCGGACATATGGCCTGACCCGGACAGCTTCATGCCGGAGTGGTTCCTGGGGCGCGAGATTGATTACAAGGGCCAGGATTTCGAGTTCATCCCGTTCGGGAGCGGGCGGAGGATGTGCCCCGGGATGTCATTGGCCTCTAGGATGGTGCACCTGATTTTGGCCTCTCTCTTGCGCTCCTTTGATTGGAAGCTTGAGCAGGGTGTGAGGTCCGAAGAGATGGACAAGACCGAGAAATTTGGGATCACACTGCGAAAGGCAGTCCCTCTCTGCGCTATTCCCACGAAGGTGTGACTTTAATCACGTGTGTGCCCGCTCGTTGTGAGAGATACATGCGTTCATTTGGTTGTCATGTTCTTTTGCTTCTGTGTATGTTCGAAATAAATTCGATGGATTTCATTTCATTTATGATGTATTTGCGTACCAATTCATGGGAAAAGTATTGAAAAAGTCATAATCATATTGCATTGGTACCAATTCTGTCTTAAATTTTTCCATTGAACCAATTTAGTCATAAATATTTTTACAATAGTACCCTCGCCTGTGGCTAGTCACCGGCCATAGCTAAGCATCGGCCACAAGTCAAAGAAAAAGAAAAAAAAGAAAAAGGGAAAAATTAATTTAAAATTTTAAAAATTTATTTTAAAAAATTGGCCACGTCAAATAGCTGGTGTCCATGTCATTAATTTTCGGCATAAATTAGCCAGATGAACTGAATTTGTACCAATGTAAATAGGTTTATGACTAAATTGGTCTAATTAAAATATTTAGAACTGAATTGGTACTAATATAATAGATTAACGATTTTCTTGGTACTTTTCCCCGCAATTTATTTTGTACCATGACAAGACGATGTATATGGTCATGGTTATAGCGTGCTGCGTCTAGACAGTGACAGGTTTTAAAACGAGTGGAGCTGTCTCCACATTTTAAAAAATGTTAATACCACGAAAACCCAAAATTAATACAATTGTGACAAATTTACCCAAAATTAATTTTTTAACCACCAAAAACCTCAAACTAGTACATCTATGATAATTTTACCCTTCGTTAGTTTCCATTAAATTTTACCATCCAATTTCTGAGTTGAATGACATGCGGCAGTTGACGGGTGTAACAATTTGAGGTTTTACCCTCCGTTTGTCACAGGTGTACTAGTTTGAAGTTTTTTGTGATATTAATCCAATTTAACTTAGGGTAAATTTATTACAAATGTACTAGCTTGAGGTTTTTTGTGGTCAAAAAGTTAGTTTATGGTAAATTAAAAATTTGTCACACGTGTATCAGTTTGGAGTTTTTCGTAATATTAATCCTTTTAAAAAAGCATACAATGGTTTGAACTTGGAATGAATTGCATTTGTTCTATGGAGTTTCGACACTAGCAAAATTCAGACAACTGTGTGTATCAAAAATTAAGAAGGGTTTTAACAAAATGGAAAAAAAAAAGTGAGATTTGAGTTATTTTAGAAAAATTTTACTTCTTTCAAAATGAGGAAGATTGATTTAAATTTGGAATCCATGAGAATTTTGTAGGATGACATGGTTGTGATGTCAATCAATTTAAGTACCATTTTGCCCTTTGTTTGGTATTGTGAAGGGCTATTATTCATCTTACAACAGCAAGCATGGATTTTCGTGGAACTTTTCAAAGAATGTTCGAGGCCGAATATTGCATTTTGGCTTGATTTATAATATACGGATATATCCTAGAATGCAGTTTAATATCTTCATATACTAAAATTGGTAAGTTAACTTGTTCTTGACCACACACGAGGGAGAGTAATATTTCAATTGCCACTCTAACCTCCACCTACTCTTTCAAGTTTTTTTTTCCTTAAAAAAACCGTCTTTCTGTCCGTTTATTCCGATGCAATTCTCTAAAAGTTTTATTTTTTATGTAGCACACTATTGTGAACATGCAGCAGAAGCTCTAAACCTTCATCCGAGGAGATCACCAAGAGAGAGCCCAAGGCCGAGCCTGTCAACATTTCCAGTTAGACCCACCTTCACTGAGTTATGAGTCAAACAATCTGCCCCTCACATGTGAGCTTAGTGTTAAGTTTGCTCCCTCTGTGTTCAAACATCCCAACAAATCTTAACTTAAATCTCCAAGTTATTGCAATGCACCCGCAACTATACACAACAACCATCAACAAGTGCTAACTTAGGATTGCATCACCCATGGTCTCTTATCTTGCGTCACCAGACCAACTGTCCTTTCCACTTGAAATAAGTGTCGATCATGAGATTTCTTTATTGAGATATTCACGAAACACCTAAACAGATTGGAGGCCCACCAATCAACCATCGACTCTAATACCATTTGTTGGAAGCACGTAGGAAAAGCCTGATACCTTCATCCGGGGAGATCGCCAAGAGAAAGCCCAAGTTCAAGCCCGTCGACATATCAAGTTGGACCCACATTCACTCAAAAGCTTAAGTCAATGAGTTATGGGCTAACTTTGATATATTAACTACACCACACCACTTATCCGATGTGGGACTTTTTCTAACACAACTCACACATGTACTTCAACACACACACATGCGTTGGTAATTTGTTAATGTTTAGCCAACAAAGTATGATCTATGACAATTATATCCGGATCAAAATTATCTCGGCTAATCTTTTGGTCATTTTGTGTCTTTCCAGTCATCTGTGTTTTTCCTAACTCATGAATTAAAAAAATGAATAATTTTCACTGAAAAGTAGGTTATTAGCTAGCTACTTCTAATATAGTAATATGTAGATTGTCATTTAAACAAATGGTGTTTGGAACTTCTTTTTCGATGTCTCACGTATTAGAAAATTTTCTTTTAAAAGATCAAAGAAAAGCAAACATATGCTCAATGTATATCTAATTATCTCGCTAATAGAGACAATAATTACGTATGTTTCAATGATAGGTTGTTGTAAAGTACCAAGGATTCTTTGCTACCCAGTCCGCAACACTATTTGAGTTTCTATTACAGTATTGCAGGTCTAACTTTGAAAATAAAGTCAGCAGTTCCCGTGCTTCAGCAATAATTGCCCTATGTTCCCACGGCAAAGCTTGTGTAGTCTTCAATGCATTGACCAGATTTAGACAATCTGACTGGACAGTCAGTCTTTCATCCGCGCGTGAGGAGAGAAATATGAGGGTTTCCACCATTGCTAGGCATTCGGCTTGCTCGGCTGAGGAGGTAGGGACGTCCTTTGCAAATCCGTCGACTGTAGTTCCATCTCGCGCGCGCGCGGCATACTGAGCGATTGAACCTTCGAGTGATCCAGGTTGGTGAGCTGCATCTATATTGATTTTCATTTCGCCCCCTTTGGAGGTATCCAGGCTTCGTGCGTCTTCGCCGATCCGGGCCGGGCGTTCGTTGGCGAGATTATTCCACCCGCAGAAATTCCCGAGCAAATTATGTCCTCTTTCAACCAGCAGCTCCGGGTCTGGGAGGTGTCTTTTGAAGACAAAGCTATTTCTAGCTTTCCAGATTTCCCAGAGGACTACCGAGATTAATTCTACACCAGGTGAGTTGTTGCTTCTATGGATATGGTGTCTCACCATTCATCTATTCTTGTTATTTGGAATTTAGAGTTCTGGATGTTCAAGATCGGTGCCTTCCAGACTTCTCGCGCCCATTTACAGTGCAAAAGTAGGTGTTCCGGGGTCTCCACATGCACTCGGCAGATTGGGCATAGAGGGTCAGGTACCATTTTCCTTTTGTATAGATTCTCCTTAGTTGGGAGAGCATTTTGACAAGCAGACCAGATGAAGTGTCTGATTTTGTGGGGGGTTTTTAATTTCCAGATTCTGTTCCAAAGTTGAGTTGGGGGTTGAAGAGAGGAAGAGGCGGTTTGAGCTTCTGTTGTTTCTTTTGTGCGTAGGGTGTTGTATCTGCTCTTTACCGTGTACTCTCCTTCCCGCGTACCTGTCCAGATCAATTTATCTTCATTAGTCTGTGGTCTAATTGGTATGGTAAGGATCTCGCGCACCACCTGTTCTTGAAATAGTCTTCGCAGGGTCTGTTATTTCCAGATGTTTGCCTCTTGATCCACCAGTTCATACACCATAGTTGGGTCTCCTTCATTCGCCCGTCCCCCTAAAATTCCACTTTTGAGCCACCTATCCTCCCTGATGTTGATTTAAACACTCACTAACGACTGGCTGATTTGTCCTCCGCAGGCCCTTAGAGACTTGCTCTGTTTTGAGACTACCAAAAGGGGTTATGGTTCTACTAGATATCAATGAAAAGCAGTTCATTTTGACAAAAAAAAAAGTACCAAGGATTAGAGGGCAAAACCGATAGGAAATTGAATTCATTATATATCTATCATGTTCTCCCTCTTAGATGTATATTAGAAAAAATTATTCTCGTCGTGCCAAAGCCATGTGTTGATCACTAATATTCAGAATTCCTTATCTTGGGTTAACAAAATCCTTACTTTTTTATTAGAAAAAGGGTCGAGAAGACTACTAGCACTAACGACCTCTCTAGGCAGAACTCACACCAACTATAGAATGTTCTTTTGAGCTATAATTATTCCATACCACCCGCGATGGAAATCCCTTTACCGTAACCCCTCCAAGATACTAGCAGCTAGGATATCTCTCACACACGAGGCGTGCCCCCAACTGGGCAACATAGCACGAGCCTTTTAGAAATTCGGTCGTGTTGCGAATTGAATTCCTAATCACGTGAAACGCGGGTAACTCATTTACTGCAAATCATTGCTATACTATGGGGAAAGTAACAAGAAAGAAGATATGGGCTTCTTGGCCCATTGGTTTTAGGCTGCAAGGGGGCTGCGCAATTTGCCCGATCTCTAAATTGAAGAGATAACATATGGACCGATTCCTATCATTTTAATCTACACAAGCTGAATCAAAAACAAATTTGCTTTTCCTTTGGGTGATTAAAGATTGAATAAGACAAATTTATATTCTCGTAGGATCCTCATTTCCATCATTTATAACCACTTTACATTGTTGTTTTTGTTCTCACTCTAATAATCGACAAGACTCTCAATTTGCACGTTGATCAAGTTTCTCTCTACTTGTCAAATTATGCTTCTTGAGAACATTGATAATTCACATATCTACTAGATTGACTGTATAAAAGCAGTAACACATGGTTGTAACCCATTCCCAACGAGAAGAAACTAATTCTATTGAATACCCATCCACTTTTGAGTCCAAATTTAGTTTCGATTTCGAAAAGAAAAAGTGTGAGCGCCAATAAATACCCCGTTGATTTTAATTCCAGTTTGGTTGCTCTCGATTGCCAGTTTCAATTTTTTATATTCTCGCTATATATTTCAAGTTGTTCACACACAAAAATTGACCAACTTTTATTATCCACGAATGGTCACCTCGATCGACAGTAATAGAGTCTGGTCAGAGAAGCCATCAATGCACAGGGCTCTTAATTTAAAGAAATCGATCGATCATCAACAGAGATATGGACAAATAGATATGCTGGAAGTTATGGCCCTCATCAGTCGACAGATGCATGGACAACGCATTACTGCAGATTTTGCTAAGCGTCGGGGTTGGAAGATAAAGAGAATGTATCGGTTCGAATACGAAGTGATGGTTGATTATCCCGTGGTCGCAGAAGTTGTGACTTCTTTTTCGATGATGATTTAGAATACAAAAGGTATGCCCAAAATCTTGTACAATTATCCACATTGAATTCTTTATTCTCTCCGCACGACAATCAATGAGTTGCAAATTTATTTCTTCATTTTACGTCTTGCAAATTTACTATCCTTGCACTTTTAATTCTAGCACTCGCAGTTTATTTTCTTTTACCCAAGCCATACACTTTTCCCGTCCAAGATTAGCAAAGAATACCTTCACTTTAAAAGAAAAAAATCATAATCAATCTTTTTAGTAAAAAAAATTTCACTTTCTGGGTGAAACACCGATACTTATAATTCTCTCGCAATCTAAAAATTCATCAATTTCACACGAATCCTAAAAGTCTAATATTATTGTGGTTGGATTCCCCTATCCGGTAGAAAATTGAGCCCCGTCGTCTCGTTTTTTTATGCGAGAGCATCCAATTCCATCATCAAATTCCATTAAAAAACATTTGATGTTTATGCAAGCAAACGGAGATTTCAACATGGTCCAATAGGTCTGATGAGAACAAAGTGTTCAAGATGGATTTCTAGAAGATTAAAGAATAAAAATTCATCCAACTAAGTCATAGATTTTCTAGTTTAAGTTGGTTTCCTAATTTAATGTTTTGTATTTAATGTTTCCTAAATTAAGGTTTCCTATTTTAACGTTTTCTAGTATAATATTTCATAGTTTCAGGTTTCCTATTTTAATGTTGCCTAGTTTGACCTTTAATAGTTTAGTATCTTAGTCCCACTATAAAAAAAAAAAAAAACGTGCATTTGTAGTTGTATGCATGCAGATTTTTGAATTGATAATATATCATAGTTTCTTTCAAGTGAGTGATTATTTTGATTCTTTGTCCAATTCGTTAGTAGTCAATGTCCTTTGGTTCTTTATCCAATTCGTTGGTGGTGAACCTTAAAGTTCTTCTCATTGGTACGTGGAACATTACTTTATACCTTGGTGGTAAACTATTCTGTCCCAAAATTCTTTTTTATACAACTACATCGAACACTTTCATTCCATCAAATTGTAACTTCACCCAAACTCACCAGGCATCATTTTTGACACGCCTAGTAGGACAAGTTCGACAATTTTGCTAAAAAAAGGTCAGGCTCTGAAGAGGAGAATGGAAGTTGATTCGCAAAATCAACGAAATTCTATGTAGTCATCTGAAACCGTATATCCTAGGATCCTGATAGAGATTCCTCTGCAAGTCCAACACAAGGGAAGAATGGCAATCACAAAGATGAAGGAAATAGCGGTACGTGCCTCTATATTGTTTATCAAGAACTCGACAGGTGACTGTTCGGAACAAACATTAGCTACCGAGAATAGATTATCTCTTTGATCAACTACAGGGTGCTCCGATCTTTTCGAAAATTGATCTAAAGTCTGTTTATCATCATCTGCAAAATCAAGGCATATGATATTCCCATTTCTGCTTTCAGCACTCAGAACGGCAATTATGAGTTTCCGGTCATGCCTTTCGGACTGACTAGTGCCCCGGCCGTCTTCAAGGATCTTATGAATTGAGAGTTCAAACCATTCCTATAAGCTCGTGGGGTGTTCATGGATGAAATTTTGGTTTATTCCATGAACCAGCAGAAACTTGAAGAGCACCTTAGAATTGCATGACAAATTATGAGGGAGAAGAAATTTTTTGTGAAATTGAAGAAACGGGAATTCGAAGGAGGAAATCAGAATCTCAAATGCTTCAATGCTTTGATCATGGCAAAAAATAATAGGAGAATGACTCTTTCTTTATAGATATTCACGGAAATAAGAAAATATAGGAATGATACCAAATCTTTTCACGTCCAACTCCAACATCGATGAGTTCGATAGATAGACAATAAGAAAATTTGATTTTACAAATTGAAAGGGTCGCAAAACTTGCCGATTGCATAAGAAAAATTTGAAATACCAAATAAAAAAGTATGACAAATTAGGTTCAATATTAGACTTAATAATTTTTTTGATCTTTTGAGGCTAGGGATCTAGGCAAAGAACTATGTAAAATTTTGTAAGACCTCTAGAATTGTTCTAGAAATCATGTAGGATAAATTTTGGCTTAAATTGTGATGTAGAAATTGGTAATAGGAAAGGCAAATAGGGACCTAGAGAGGTATTGGAACTCAAACCTTCTACTTTGATGGATGTAAAATCTACCGTGCTCTAAAAATTTAAGGTATCGGATAAAAAGCGATTTAATATTTAAATATTCTAACAAGCTGATTTACGATTCCCTACCCCTCTTTCTCTCTCTGTTTCGGCCTTTCTTCGCTTCTTCAACTAATGGAGGGGAGGGATTTGACCTAGATTTCTCCCTCCCCACTCTCTTTGATTGTTTTTCTTTCGTTTCTTTTTTGTTTTCCTTACTTTACTCTCTTGATCTAAATCTAGATCTAGGATCTTTTCTTTCTTGATTTTAGATGGGGCCTTTTCTCTCCCGATCTAGTTCTAGATCTAGGAGTTTTAATAAATAAGTACTCTATCTCCAATTTAAATGGCCTTTACAATTGCTCTAGTGTCAAATTTGTGCTTGCTCTACATGTTTTTATTAGAAGGTTTGGCGTCTCACACTTGCTAAAGGACTTGCTCTCACGCGCTTCAGATCTGAGCTTGTTCAACATGTTTATGTTGTCTCCATACGATGATAATGTTGGAGACACCGAACCTAGGCGCACACTGCTGAAAGGCAAAGCCGTAGTTACATATGGAGATTCCGGTCTATGCTCATCACTCATGATGATGTGTGATCCGGTGATCAATCATTGATCTTTTTGTTTGGATGCAGTCACAAATACCGATATGTTGTTAAAGGACGAGCGTGTACTCACCTCGTCTGATCATGCTCTAATGATAAACATTAACTTTTGGATTTCGGTTTGTTTTGCAGTTCTATGGACTCGTTTTGTCGTGGTGATTTATGAGATTTCCCATGAATCCTTTCATGTATCATTTTGGTAATAAATGGAAATATCTTTTCATCATAAAAAAAAGAACAAGCTGATTTTACTTATAAAATTTTTCGTTTTTTTGTGTTCACAGCAAAAACTAAAGAGTTAATACTAAGAAAAACCTCAAACTGGTACGTCTGTGACAATTTTACCCCAAACTAATATTTTGACCACCGAAAACTCCAAAGTGATATAATTATGATAAATTTACCCTCAGTTTGTTTCTGTTAAATTTTATTGTCAAATTGCTTTATTAAATGACGCGCGGCAGTTGACTGATGTACTAGTTTTATGTTTTACCCTCTGTTTGTCATAAGTGTACCAGTTTGTGATTTTTTGTGGTATTAATTCAATTTAACGAAAACTAACGGAGAGTAAATTTGTCACAAATATACCAGTTTGGGGTTTTTAGTAGTCAAAAAAATTAATTTGAGGTAAATTTGTCACATGTATACCAGTTTAGGGCTTTTCGGGGTATTAACCCAAAACTAAAACTCTCAAAGTCATAGAGGGAGAGAGGGTGTCTTGCGTAGCATGCTTTTTGTGAGATTATGTGAAATTGAACTGCAAATAAAATTGATGAAGATGCGATCTACTTACGTGCTCTGATAAAAAAAAGGATGAGATGGAGATCCATATTACGTGGGTGCAGATCAATTGAAATCAAATCGAGTCTTCATTTTTAAGTAGCTTAAGGATAGTCACCGAAAACTACATGCATGACCTCATTGACCAATGGATGCTCAACATCGAAGAGACTTCCTTCTTGCCAATTCCAAACACTTCACACCTACTTTAGTTTGCTTCCTCTTCATGATCTCCATAAAGCAATTCTTCTTTTATATAATATATTATACATTTGGCTCGCATTCAAAAGAAACCCTTATCATTCTCAATTTCCATGATCATGGAGTTCGTGAAGCTTCTTCTTTCTTGCTATGTATTATTTAATCTGTTGTGGTTGACGAGTCCCATTTTCTGCATAAGATTGGACTCTTAGTCATCACTTGTACTTCTAAGTTTCCAATTGACTGCGGATGCGTGCTGAATTGTAAAACATCTGGCGTTGTCGTAGTGTCGCCTCTGTTAGTAATATACGGGATGAAAATTTGATACGGTTCGAGATATGGAGAAATATATATAGTTATTTTCATTAAAAGTACATCAAGAAAGTTCGGCGTTAGTGTAATAAAACCGCAAAATGATGTTACCATGATTTTCATCAACTGTGTTATAAAGGCAAAAGTACACCACAAGTGTCATAACTTGTGTACGGCGATCACTTTGGTGCCATAACTTTTTTTCGGATCACTTTGGTGCCAAGTCGGAGGAAAATAGATCACTTTAGTGACTCCGGCCAAAAAGCTGACGTGGCATTTATATTAAAAAAAAATGGTCTCACTTGTACACGTAATTTCCACGTGGCTTTTTTTTCGAATTTTTTAATTTTTAGAAAAATAATATTAATTAAAAAAAAAACAGAGGTTGCAGTAGCGGCGAGGGCTCCCTCGCCGCTGCTGCCTGGGTCGCCACCACCGCCGGGAAGGGCCGAAGATGGTGGGCGCAGTGGTCGGCGAGGCGAGACCTCGCCGTCGCGACCTGGCGACGGAGAGGTCGGCCTCGCCGTCGCCCGGGTCGCGACACTGAGGCCGCGCCGCACGGCGAGGTTCCGCCGCCCGCCGAAGGCGAGGCAAGACCTCGGCCGTCGCCCGGGTCGCGACGGTGAGGCGCGGCTCGCCCATAAGGCGAGGCCGCGCCGCCGTCGCGACCCAGCGACGGCGAGGTCTGGCTCGCCTCGCCGCCGTGCGAGGCCGCGCCGCCGTCGCGACCCAGCGACGGCGAGGTCGGCCTCGCCTTCGCCGGGACAAGGCGAGACCTCGCCATCGCGACCCGAGCGACGGCGAGGGTCACCGGGCCCCGGCCAGGGGGTGGGCGAGGCGACCCTCGCCCACCACCGCCGGCCCTTCCCGGCGGTGGTGGCGACCCAGGCAGCAGCGGCGAGGGAGCCCTCGCCGCTGCTGCAACATCTTTTTTTTTTTTTAATATTTAATATAATATAATATAATTTTTTTTAAAAAAAGTACACGTCAGCGGCTAAACGGCGTTGTTTTTTGTTTTTAATGCTGGCTGGACCTCTCCGGCAAGCCGTGGACCTCTCCGGCGAGCCGTGTCAGCGCCACATCGGATTTCCGGTGAGCCACGTCAGCATTGGCACTAAAGTGATTGTTTTTCAACAAAGTTGGCACAAAAGTGATCCGAAAAAAAGTTATGGCACCAAAGTGATCGCCGTACACAAGTTATGGCACTTGTGGTGTACTTTTGCCGTGTTATAAATAAGTAAAGCTTAATCATTATAAAGAACAATTTGAAATACAAGACTTTATAGAAAAGTCTTTTATAATAATTGTATTTTATTACCGAGTCATGCTATTCAATGAGAAATCATAACACTGTTATATTTATTTATGTGAACATGAAATAAAATAACCATATTTTGGGTATATAAATGATTTTTTACATGTTACCATCATTAATTGAGAAAAGGAAAGATATTAAATACGTTTCTATTGCAGTCCTTCTACCTGACTATAATGAGGCACGTGCTTTTCACGAATATAATTCAATTCACTCCAAAAGTAATAGTATGTTCCGCAAGTTTAATGAACTTACGGGAGACGAAAATTTTTTATCTTTAGAAAATCACCTATGTACATTTACTTTACCTAAAAGTATGAGTATTGTACTAACATTGAATATAATGGGTCCCATCAAATGACATTCTAGATTCATTTTAGCATACTTACCAAGTTCATTAAATAATTTATCTAGAGGAGTCGCACAAAAATGTCAAGCGTGAACACACGCTCTCTCTCGCTCGCAACATTCTATGCAATCTCACAACATCTTAGCTCACCTTTAACCGCAGAAGCCACCGGCGAAGCCGCCACTACACCCCTAGATTGCCACCGCCATGCGCGGAGAGAGAGAGGATGCTGCCATATTTTTTATGACTCCAGACCATGCTATGACTAGAAACATATTGAACTTGTCCTTTCAAGTTTTCAACCCAATTTAATTGAATCGACAATCTATCCTTTGAGTAACGACATAACTCAAATCAAGAACTGTATTCCATGCCTGAACAGAAGTTGCTCAGAGGACCATTCTATTGAAGTTCTTTGAAAATTCACATAGAGAACCTACAATACGTGGAAATGTGCTCAATCGAAGCTCCATTTACTGTTCAATTTTCATTCTAGTCCCCTTCACCGTCGCTAATGACATATGACTCCGCCACAGGAAGATTTGCAGTAACTGCACTATATACTCCTGACGTTTTGTTCGGTAATTCTACACTACTAGAACTAATTTGAAGAAGAATGGACATCAAGGTCCGTCAACCTTTTCCGACTTTTGCAATCTCTTTCCTAGTTTTTTTTTTTAATTGGTCGTTGAGCTCTGTATATATTGGTTCAGGTCAATTCTTCATTAAAAAACCCGACGAAGGCAGAGACATGGCCGCTAAGAGAGAGAGAGACCCACGATGGTCAGTGGCAAGACTGGCCCGGGGCATGATCTCGGCAAACCCAAGCTGGCCAGTGGCGAAGTCAGCAAGGGGCGAGGGTCTTGCCTCACCTCTCTCTCTCTCTCACATCAAAGGCGGCGACAGTGGATCCCTGGTTTTAGAACATTTAAATAATAAATCACGCCTTCGTTTAATAGTTTAAGCTTTTGGATTTGACTTTCTAACATGGTATCAGATATTTAAATAATAAATCACGTCTTCATCTAATACCTAGTTGGTGGTGCGGTTGGTTAGATATTTACTAGAGGAGCATGCTGATGTGGTGCTAACATGGATAGCCATGTGTATATTCCATTTTATGTATTTGTCAATAGGACTAAGATGAACAAACCAATACATAATCTAATTATTCACAGGCCAAAAAAGTTTAGGAACTCCATTGCATTAATCGAGAAACTTTGGGGATTGCCATGTCACTATCTCTATTAAATGAATAGGATTTCTTCAGCAAATGGCCGAACCCACTAAACGACCAATTGAAGAAAGTTCACAGTTTCGAAACAGTACTTTTCTCTGGTAATATACAATATTGATGATCACTTATCAACTACATTTAACAAATGTCGTAAAATAATTGTTAACAAGAGTCAAAAAAATATTAGTCACTTTCTTTTATCCTGAATCTTGTTTTGAGGAACAGCTTTGAATCTTTGTGTGAACCTTATTCTATGGAAAAAAGTTCAGCCATACAATTATTACCATCACTTTTGGCTAACCCAACATTAGTCCAAAGTATAAATATTATATCCTTCCCAAATTAATTAAGCAAGCAAATGAGCATTACCAAACACCAAATGGAGTACTATGTAGCTTACCTTCTGATGCCATGCCTGCTGTGGTGGAGCATCAATCTGCTCTGGCGACCGTCCAGCTGGAAGTTTGGCTACGGCGGCAACCGGCTGCCGCCGGGCCCACGTCCGCTCCCGATCATTGGGAACATCCTTGAGCTCGGCGACAAGCCCCACCAGGCGCTCGCCAAGCTCTCCAAGCTATATGGCCCTGTTATGATGATAAAGCTAGGGGCAATCACAACTATAGTCATCTCCTCTCCGGAGGCTGCCAAGGAAGCCCTCCAAAAGAACGACCAGCTCTTGTGCGGCCGGCAGATCCCTGACACCATCAAGGCGAGCGGTCACCACGCCGAGTCCGTCGTGTGGCTGCCCGCCTCCGATAAGTGGAAGCAGCTCAGGAAGGTGTGCACCGTCCAGATGTTCTCGGCACACAAGTTGGACGCAGGCCAGCTCCTCCGCCGCAAGAAGGTGGACGAGCTCGTCAGCTTTGTCCACCAGAGCTGCCGGCGAGGCCATTGCGTTGACATTGGGAAGGCCGCCTTCACCACCGTGCTCAACTTGATCTCGAACACGCTCTTTTCAGTCGACTTGGCCAACCATGACGAGGGCTCCTCCCAGGAGTTCAGGAACCTTGTGTGGGGCGTGATGGAGGAGACCGGAAAGCCCAACATGTCAGATTTCTTCCCAGCTCTCCGGTGGTTTGACCTCCAGGGCGCACGCCGGAGGATCTCGGGTTACTTCAGCAGACTCGCCATCTTCGGCGGGATGATCGAGGAAAGGACTCAAGTGAGGGCCTCGATGATCGACTCTTCACCGAGCAACGATGTGCTCGATTCTCTGATTAATTTAAACGAGAGTGGTGAATTGAGTCGCCATGAAATTAAGAGCTTGCTTCTGGTCGGTACGATCTGAATTATTCATGCTCCTATTCAATAGTTTCTGTCATCTGTATATATAATTGTTAGATATTTTGTGAACTATGAAGAGCGAGCTCTGTATTTAGACTAGTAAAATGACTTCTTTTGATATGGAATGGTGCTTTCATGTCGCTAGCAAGTAACATTATCCTTATCTTGTTGCTCTCAAATTTGTTACAGACCAAGTTTGCGCAATTAATTTCAATTTGCTTCAGAAAATGAAGGTGTATTTAGCAAACATCACTCAGCTATTTCTCACAATTCTTTTGCCAGGACTTGTTTGTCGCAGGAGTCGACACAAGCACGAGCTCGCTGGAGTGGGCGATGGCAGAGCTGCTGCACAATCTGGAGAAGATCGCGCGAGCCCATGAAGAGCTCGATCGAGTCGTCGGTGGCAATGGAGGAACACTGCAAGAGCCCGACATCGCAAGGCTCCCTTACTTACAAGCCATAGTCAAGGAGACTCTAAGGCTGCACCCGCCGGTCCCGTTCCTGATCCCGCACAAGGCCGAGAGCGACGTGGAGATGTGCAGGTTCCTGTTGCCCCGGCACACCCAGGTGCTGGTCAACGTGTGGGCCATGGGGCGGGACCCCAGCATATGGCCCGACCCAGACAGCTTCATGCCGGAGCGGTTCTTGGGGCGCGAGATTGACTTCAAGGGCCGCGATTTCGAGCTCATCCCCTTCGGGACCGGGCGGAGGATATGCCCTGGGATGCCCTTGGCCTATAGGATGGTGCACCTGATTTTGGCCTCTCTCTTGCGCTCGTTTGATTGGAAGCTTGAGCAGGGGGTGAGGCCTGAAGAGATGGACATGACTGAGAAATTTGGGATCACATTGCAGAAGGCAACGCCTCTCCGTGCTATTCCCATGGAGGTGTGACTTTAGAGAGATGCATTCTCGGTATCGTTTTCTAAAAAATGATTTAATATTAGGAATTTACCTAGAAGGATTTTCTGTCGTTATGTCCTTTTGCTTCTATATATGTTTGAAATAAATTCGATGTACCTGATTTCATAGATGATGAATTTGTGTATGCGAGTATATGTGGTGACATGGATGAATAATTGTGTAATATGAAATTGTACGATCATGGTTATAGTGTGCTATGTCTATACAGTGACAAGTTTCAAAATAGATGGAGCTAAAGTTTTCCTTTAATCATCCAATTCAAATTAAAGTGGTGGATCCCGAATTCATGCATTATCCTTCTTCTTTTTTAGTTCGAAATTTTATGTGCGATCTTGTTGCCATAGTCAAGAATATCACATGTTATCTATACTTTTTAATTGGATATTACCACGTATAGTACAAGCATTATGTTTTCTTTTTCTTTTTTTAGATTTTACCTTATACATATTTGCTTTGTTCAAAAGAGAACTTCCAAGAAACCTAGTTGTTTATTACTTATCGAGCAAATTTATGAATTGATTATCAAATAGAATCGAGAAAACTTGAAATATAAATTACATTTTAACATAGTCAAATATTTACAAACTTTTACTTTATAGTGCATTTCACTGTCATTTTTTTTCTCATCAATTGTCTTTTATTTGGGCGAGGGCGTCATGCCCTAGCCTCGCCTTACCTCACCCTAGCCCTCACCTTGCCTTGCGTTGCGTCGCCTCGCCCTTGCCTTGCTTGCACTACATCGTGCCGCGTTGTGTCGCCTCGCCTTGCCTCACATCGCAACCCTCACCTATGGTTGATGACCTCTCCTGGCCATTGCTGAGATCTTGACGACCAGAGAAGGAAAATAGAAAAAAAATATTAGAAAATTTAAGTGCAAAAATTGTCTATGTCAGCGGCAACTATATCACGTAGGACAGTCGATACTAACTATACCGCCGTATCATCAATTTTTTGTCAAAATTAGCTAGAATGACTACATTGGCAATTTGTCAAAAGATTTAGAACTAAATTGGCCAAATTAAAAAGTTTAGGACTGAATTGCTCCCCATACAATAGGTTTAAGACTTTTGGACAATTTTCCAAGTTGAAATAGTCTCACCTATTATTCGTAGTAACTCCATTTGTTCTATTAATATGCAATTATTTCCATCACAATATCACATGTACAAATTGGTAGCTGCAACCATCCACTCTTTCATTCACCACCATATCAATGGTAGATGAAGCCGCTTATGAAATTCTATCGCAATTTATAGGACTGTGGGAGGGTAGCGTCATATATCACAGGTTCAGCAAAGCAATTATAACTCAGTTCAAACATCGAATCTACATGAAGATTTATTAAAACTAAGTCTTGAATTTGAGCCCGTGTACAAAACTTGATCCGAATTAATGCATGCCGAAGTGACGGCCCCCATTAAGCGAACACCCAATTGGGATAAAGTAATGGAAAAAGTAAATTCGTTTGGTCGGCCACATTCATGTTTTGGTTATACATGCACACATCATATATTTGGGATTTTGTCTTTTAGGCCATGTGTACCCATAAGTGAGCAGTGGAGTCTTGGCCGTGATATCAAATTATGAAGCGAACTTGTCTTCGTTATTGCATGCATCCAAGAGTAAATAAAAGTGTTAATAGCCATGAAAATCTTATGATAAAATTTGATGTATTTGTCAATAAGATTGAAGTATTTTTTTGACTAATACCAAGAGTGATCGAGTGACTCGGGTATCGTTGTAATTTTTATTGTGTCGCTCAATTTATGATAAAATCTGATGTCGCTCTCCCTGAGAATGTAGATCGCACCGAGTGCTTGTTTGTACAACGGTTTGTCTAGTGGAGTCCTATCACTGTCAACTATCTCTCGGATCGACTTTCTTTTCCCGCTTATCGTTTATATCCTCGAACTCTTAACACGCAAGTCCATAAGTGGGAAAAAATTAAAGAAAGATGAGCATATCTAATTGAAAAAGTCCTACAACCGGTTGATTAATGCTCAACCTTATTAATGAATAAGAAATCCCACAGACGATTATTTAGGTATCAATCACTTCCAAACCCGAAACTGTCTTCCTACTATTAAAATAGCAGGAAACAACATCACAAGAATATCAATATATGGACTCGTATCATATAGATTATTAATTACTTTCATCCATGGGTCACCGTCGGCACGCTGTGAAGCACCACCGTCTCCACCGTGAGGCCAGGCCCAAAACCGAAGAGGACGCCCCACTCCAGCCCCTCGCCGGTGGTCGCGAGCCCTTCCTCCACCGACTTCCTCCGCATCTCATCGAGGATGAACGAGACGCGCGCTCGACATGTAATTCCCGTACTCTCTAAGCACGTGCCTCACGGCTCGGAGCCTCTCCTCTTTCAACCCTAGCTTGGCCTCGATTTGGTTGAGTATGGCCGGGCCACCCGGGTGAGGCACCCAAAAGATGGAGTTCCAGTCACTTATGCCGAGCGAGTCGAACGCCTCGTTCAAGCTCTTCTCGATGTTGTTCGCGATCAAATGCGGGACCCTGTCGGATAACCCGAAGGTGAGGCCGACGTCGCGCAGCTGGCCCTCGATGGCGCCCTCGGAGTTTGGCAAAACGGTCTCCGCAGTCCACACAATTTGGAATATGGGCCGCTCAGCGGGGATCTCTGGGTCAGACCCTATGATGAGTGCGGCCGCGCCGTCCCCAAAGATGGCCTGGCCCACGAGGTTGGCAAGGTTCTCAGCGGACGGGCCTCGGAAGGTGGTGACGGTGATCTCAGAGCAGACGACGAGGACGCGGGCACCGGCGTTGTTCTCGGCGAGGTCCTTAGCGAGGCGGAGGACAGTGCCACCAGCAAAGCAGCCCTGGTGGTAGAGCATGACACGCTTGACTGAGGGGCTGAGGCCGAGAAGGCGCATGAGCTGGTAGTCGGCACCGGGCATGTCGACGCTGGAGGTGCAGCAGAACACGATGTGGGTGATCTTGGACTTGGGCTGGCCCCACTCCGTGATGGCCTTCGACGCCGCCTCCTCGCCGAGCTTCGGGATGGTGGCGATGATCATGTCCTGGCGTGGGTTGAGTGAAGGGGCGTCGTACGAGCAGATCTCGGGGTTTTTCTCCATAAGCTCCTCGGTCAAGTGCATGTAGCGCTTGTGGATCATTGACTTGTCACCTGCGACGTTCCCGAACATTTATTTTACTTTCGAAGAACAACATTGACATGCATGCATTGGAGTTTTTCTTTGTTCTGTGTTATTTTTTTTACGCAATAGTAGTAACGAACTCGCATGGCTAGCTAACATATACTATTGGACAACCTTTTCTTTCGACCATTATAAGATTGTTAAGAATAATTGCGAATTCATTGCGAAAAGAAGACAATTGCAGTCGCGCGATTTGTCCAGAAATAAGATTCAAAAAGAAAGATTTAGTCTTCTAGGAGATCTAGGGAAAGAATAACCAGAACTGTGGATAGTTTAACTCTCTTAAAGGGTGTATTAAGCAATACACAACATATATATTTAAGGATACTCTAAACTTAAATATATATATTTTGTAGCTAGGGCAATCTACTCACACATGCGGATGAACTTCTGCTTGAGGGCCGTCATGTGCTCGCTCTTCGTCATGCGGAAGTAGTAGTCAGGGTACTCGGCCTGGTACATGCAGTTTGCTGGGTTCGCAGTCCCGATGGCGAGTATGGTCGCTGGCCCCTTGGCGCGCTGGTTCTCGCGGATCATCTCGACGGTACCCATCTATCTCAGACCTGTGTTTGGGACTTTGGAACTTCAATGTAACCCTTGTTTTGGATTGAGGGTATATTGAAGCTCAAAGTGAAGAACTTCGTCTGGCTGTGAACTTTTGCAGCCCCATCGTCTTGCCTTTTATAGATACCAAGTTGGCAAGCTCGAGCTTGGTTTTGAGATAAGACGTTCCGTGTCATAGACCGCATTTGGTCACTGTCCCAAGAAATTGAGTTCGATCTTGTACTGGAAAGCTGAGTGAAGAGACCTTTCTTTATTATCGGTCACGAGGCCTCATTATTACAGGATGAACTAATTACGACAGCAAACAGGGGAAAGAAAAAGCGACGAAAAACATTATTAATCTAAAGATCGCGAAACAGCTCGAATAAAAATTTTCAGGATTTTGTCCGGTGAGCGGGATGTCACATGACAATAGAAAAGACGATTTATTACCGTGGAGGGGGTAACGTAGTTTGGCAACACCAAGATTACAGGGTAATCGAAACATATGACGCTAATGAAATTGTAATAATTTCAATATTAGGACTAAGGGACACATTTTCCTCGGGTTTCGATTGGAGAAATCTTTGTCAAAGAGGCTTTTAATTAGTGGGCTACAGATACGGGAAAATTATCCAAAAAGTCATAAACCTATTGTACTTTTGCCAATTCAGTTCTAAAACTTTTAATTTTGCCAGTTGAATCCTAAACATTTTTACCTTTTGCCAAGTGAATCCATCCAGCCAATTTTAATCAGAAATCGCTAATGTAGACAATCACCATCCTACTTGGCGCGGCCAACGCTAATGGGATATATTTAAAACTTCATTTTGCAATCAAGTTTCATAAACATGTGCCTTTGTGCTCAGAGAATGTTTAACTATCGTTACATAAGGAACTTTTTGTTTTATAGGGTTAATACCACAAAAAAATTCAAATCAGTACACCCGTACCATATTTATCCCAACCTAATATTCATGTCACAAAAAATTCTAAAATGGTACACTCATGCCATATTTATCGTAAACTAATTTTCATCTCATCAAAAATCACATGCCGGTACATCCGTGACACATATCTATCCTTCGTTAACTTTCATATAATATCCTCGTTAAATTGCTAATGCGGAAACTCGCGTGGTAAATAACTCGAATGATGAACCTATGATGTGGATCCAACGTGCAAATTCAACATAAATAGATCTCCTAAATGATGTCGTTTTGGAGAAATCGGATT